GCTTAAAGGCTTAATATATGTATACATGTGTTCGAACTTGTTAATACTTGCACATATAAATATATGAACATTTATTTATAGAACACCCTAGGAGTAGACTTCTTAAAATACAAAACATGCTGAGCATTAGAAAAAATGTCACATTGTTAAATTCAACTAGATTAAAGTTAATAATTTAAGTACATTAAAATATATCACAAACTGGACAAAACAGTGTGGTAGTACTGCTAGTTGTTTTCCCCTTATTCAATCCCGGCAGTGTTAAAGCCCACATTTCTCAGGATTCTTTGCACTATGTATAACATATGACTAATTTCTCAGCAAGAAAACATGAAGAGAAGTAGTGTGGGCAGTTTCCACCTCACTTGCTTTGAATGACTTTTGCCTTCACCCTAAATATTATCATCAAGAACATGTATTTCCACAGAAAAAGAAACATTAAAAAAATGAAAGAATGCAGAATCTTCTTAGAAATCAGGAAAGTGCAAATTAAGACCACAATAGGATATCATTTAATAACCATTCAGAGAAGGCAAATATTAAGTGTTCCAGGTGTTTGTGGGGATTTTGCACAACAGAAATTCTTGCTCACTGCAGGGAAGAGTAAAATAGTGCAATCCCTTTTGGGGGGAAAGTGTTTGTCTTATAAAGCTGAATATAATCATATTCATTGATCCAGCAATTTAATTCTATGCATCTACCTTGCTGCAGGGTTTCTAAGCCTCAGTATTATTGACATTTGACTTAACAATTCTTTGCTGTGGAGACTGTCGTGTGCATTATAGACTGTTTAGCAGCAACCAGGCTTCCACCCACTAGATACTGGTAGCACCCCAAACCAATGTAATAACCTAAAAGACCTTCAGACATTGCCAAATGTCCCTGGAGAAGGCACAATCACTGGGAATCCCTATCCTAGTGGAAGTTTGTTTTTATACACTAGAGGTACACAGTCTATTCCGTTTGTTGCGACAGCCAAACTGGAAAAAATACATTTTATTAACAAGAGATAAAAATTTAATTATGTGACTCACGCAACAGAACATTCCATAGGCATGAAAATAAATTATCTATAGCATCACCTAAGAAGACGAGTGAATCTTAAAAGCATAATCTTGAGTGGAAAAATTAGTCACGAAAGACTTCAGATAGCATATCTCAAGTTTTACAAGACACAACTGTCAAAAGTATTTTCAAGGATATCTGCATGATTAGTAGAGCCTTAAAAAAAAAAAAAAGCAAAGATAAAACATCAAGGAATGATAAGCCAAAAATTCAGAATAGCTACTTTGGTGGAGAGGAATAGCAAATACAGGTAGAAGCACTGGTATCGGTAATTTTCTAAGGCTCAAAGTGGGGCGGTGGGTTATCAGACCTTATATAACACAAATTTTGAAAATCATAGCCTACGTTTTCTATTATAGTAATTTTCTTTTCTTTTAGTGAAAAATGTGCAGAATGTATAAAGGAGAGATTAGTTAAAGACTTTTAACACTATGTATAAAGCCCTGGCTGAGCAGCTTAGTTGGTTAGAGCAGCGTTTTTCAACCGCTGTTCCGCGGCACACTAGTGTGCCGCGAGATGTTGCCTGGTGTGCCGTAGGTGCAGACAAGACAAGAATTTTATAATTTTTCACTATTTTGTTTACTTAATATTTCATAATAAAGTAATTATAAAATATTTTCTTTGTGTTTATTTGATTCCTATTCAAGAGAATTACTTTATATATAGTCAATATAGGCACAGAGTTAAATTTTTTAACATTTTCTAATGGTGGTGTGCCTCGTGATTTTTTTCATGAAACAAGTGTGCCTTTGCCCAAAAAAGGTTGAAAAACACTGGGTTAGAGCATTATCTGCCAAGTTTGTGGGTTCAATTCCCAGTCAGGGCGCATGTAAGAATCAACTGATGAATGCAAAAATAAGTGGAACAACAAATGGGTGTTTCTCTCTCCATTTCTCTCTCTGTCAAATCAATAATTTAAAAAAGAAAAATTATGCTATAGAAATTACTTTCAACCTTTCTTAACTGAGGTCAAATTGCCTTACCCTATCAGAGAAATACATCAAAATTCCCAACCATCCTGCCAAAATCTAGCTCTAACCTTCAGCCTGCCTATCATGTTTTTGTGTAATTTATATGTATATTATTGACATTTGACTTAACAATTCTTTGCTGTGGAGACTGTCGTGTGCATTATAGACTGTTTAGCAACAACCAGGCCTCCACCCACTAGATACTGGTAGCACCCCAAACCAATGTAATAACCTAAAAGACCTTCAGACATTGCCAAATGTCCCTGGAGAAGGCACAATCACTGGGAATCATGTTTTCATCATTTCTTGGAGGAGAGAATCATATACTTCTGGACTTGGCAAGGCCCCCTTGCCTGTGGTAGCACCCTGTGTGTCACTTTAACACTGTGTGTCATACTTTATTATACTTGCTTATTTCCTCTATGTCTGCTCCCACTAGGCCCTGCCTTGTTCACATTTGAATGCCCAACCTGTGGCAAAGGGCCAGGCATAGCATCTCCTCCACAAAGCACTCTTTTCTTTTTTTAAAATTTTATTTTGTTGTTTAAAGTATTACAAATAGTAGTACATCTGTCTCCTTTTTTTCCCCATTGACTTTCCCTCGGCCTCCCCTACCCGCTGGGCCCCCCTTTCTCCCCCCCCCCCCCACACATGCCCTTACCCCACCTTCCTAGTGTCTTGTGTCCATTGGTTATGCTTATATGCATGCATACAAGTCCTTCAGTTGATCTCTTACCTCCCCACTCCACTCCCACCCCCAACCTTCCCCAGACTTCCCGCTGTGACTTGATACAAAGCTTTTCAACAAATGATCTGAGAACCACATGAATCAAAATTCCCTCAGGAGCTCATAAAAAAATAAACCAAAACAAGCAAACAAACAAAAAACCAGACAGCATGTTTCTGATGACTCAATAACCACTGAATCAGAATCTCTGGGTGTAGGTCCAGGAGGCCATGTGTTTGTTTTAAGATATTCAGGTATTTCCTAAATATTTTTAGTCTTTGCTAAGTTTGCTGTAAACATAAGGCTCTACTGAGGCTTTCTCTTTATTCTATTTGAGATTAGATTCCCACAGACACAAGTTTGTTCAAGTTAAAAGAATAATGTTGGGGGAGGGGCATGGAAGAAGGGAATTGGGGGAGAAAGGGACATATGTAATACTTTCAACAGTAAAGATTTTTAAAAAGAAAAGAATAGTGTTAAGAAACTTCTCTTTTTAGCAATGGAAATGAAAATAAAAGGGTTGCATATTTTTGCTGAAGTGTTTACTACACCTGCACAGATTTTGTTAATTGGTGTTTCACTGACAAACAAACCACTATTAAGACGTTTGTAGCTTTTAGCTCTTTAAACATTAAAAATCATAATGTTTCTTTCCTTTTTTCCTTCCATCATTTTTTTTTTAATCAACCAAGTTTATAATAGCACCTTACCCTACAAATGTCCAGCCAGCTCATTCAAACAAACCCCTCACTCTTCCTCCTTTGACCTGGGAGTCCCTGGGGATTGCCCTGTAGGTGCTGTTGCTATTGTTACCACAGTGCCTCAGCATCGTCTCTTTCAGCATTTGGGGTTAGATCTTCTGTTTCTCTCTCAACCAAGAGGAATCTCAAAATGATTTTTTTAAAATGTAGAGCCTGGTTAAGCCAGGAATTCCTATCAGCTGCTCTGTTTGATTCATGCCCAAGTCTACAATCTTGACTCTCATCAGCTTTTCTGCAAATCCATGCACTTGGGATTTCCAGGGAGATGTGGGATAAACGCTAAGTCTCAATAGAAGTTTTCATCCTTCATGACACCGTGTATAGAAGACAGTATATTATGTCTTTCCTTCCTCTAATTCCTTATTCCTGCCTCTTTCTAACCATTTCCTCCATATAGTCCTCAACTCATTTTATCATGCATCTATTTTCTTCCTCTACAGTGCAACTTTCCCTTTTCTTTTTCCTTTCTCTTTGAGTTGTATCTAGAATACCATGCTTCTTTCTGGTAAAGGCCATTTTTAAGCTCTAAGGACTGTATTTGGTGCTAGGAGAAAGGTGAATAATATGTAATACCATTCATCAAAAAACTAAAAATATAGCAAAAAAGAAAAAAATATAGAAATAAATGTAATAAATGGTTACTTTTGGGTCCTATGATATAAGTTAAAATATGTGGTTGCATTTTAGTAGTGAAGAACGGAGGTTCTAGAGTCAAACAAATGTATGTTTGAATTTAATACATCTAAGGAAAATAAGGGAGATATTTATTTATTTATTTATTTATTTATTTATTTAAATATATTTTATTGATTTTTTACAGAGAGGAAGGGAGAGAGTTAGAGAGCTAGAAACATCGATGAGTGAGAAACATCAACCAGCTGCCTCTTGCACACCCCCTACCAGGGATGTGCCCGCAACCAATGTACATGCCCTTGACCGGAATCAAACCTGGGACTTTTCAGTCCGCAGACCAACGCTCTACCGCTGAGCCAAACCGGTTTCGGCTAAGCAAGATATTTAAATATTAGAATTGACTGGACTAGTTAACAGGTGTGGAAGAGGTAGAAGGTGAGGAGAGAAAGGGAGAATCAGGATGATTTCTACTTTCCTGTTTTGCTAAAAGTGTGGGATAAGGAACCCAGCAGAAACACATCTGTAGGGAAACATGATAGATGAAATTTTGAATATTACCGAGTAGATTTGGGTACTTTACATAGACACACACACACACACACACACACACACACACACACACATTTTCCTAGAAATTTTTCTTCATAATAACTAGCAGAGAGCTTTTTAAGTCCTATAATAAATATAATCTGACAACAATTCATTTAACTCTAATTTACTAAAAGAAAATTTTCTCATCTCAATTTTACATGAATTGTACATTCATTATTTGTTTCACCTGCCTTTTATGTGTCTTTTTATAAATATTCAAAACAAATTTCTTACCAAGAAAGCAAATCTTACTGGGACCTGTGCCATCATGACTAATCAGTACTTTCTTCAATTTTCCAAGGGACACTGCCTCACTGGAAAAAATATCAACCTGTAAAAGTAACGGAGTGCTGTTAAGATAATCCCTTTATCTAGAAGGAAAAAAAAGCATTGCAATCAGTACATTATTAGTAACTACAGTACAATGTTACTATATTACTATATTGCTCTATATTACTACTATATCAGTATTACTGCCACTATAAGAATCACATTTATTATGTTATGCACAGTCCTATGTTAAATATACAAACATGTAATATAATTCTTCCCCTCCTTCATCATACAGTTTAATAAAAATATTTTAAAAATTTAATCACAACATTTATTCTAAGTCTACTACTGCTAATTTCTTACTCATTTTCTTATGTTATTTTTTTTTTAAAAAATTTTTTATTGACCTAGCTGGTTTGGCTCAGTGGATAGAGTGTTGGTCTTTGGCCTGAAAACTCCCAGGTTCAATTCCAGTCAAGGGCACATGCCTAGGTTGTGGGCTTGCACCCCAGTAGGGGCCATGCAGGAGGCAGCTGATCAATGATTCTCTCTCTCCCTTTCTCTTTGAAATAAAAAATATATTTTAAAAAGCAATTCCAACTTAGGTATGTAAATATTCCTTTCTAACTTAGAGTTAATTGATTGCCAATAAGAAGGTGGAAACGAATAAATAAAAATTGATGCTGAGGTCCTAGAGGTTCCCAGTCCCTGCTGCAGACAGCAGGGACGTCTAGAATACACATCTTGATTATACTGTCTCCACCTCTTTCCTTCTCTCCTTCGCTGCATTTCTTCTTTGTGCTTCCTGGGTCACCTCCTGTTCAGGATCTGCCCTAGGCTCTGTTTGGGGAGTATTCACATGAAGGTCTCACTTTTCAAGTGAGAGTTTACGACAGCCTGCCTTTACTGCTGGGCCCAGACTGAATCCCAGACTGATGAAACCTCTTAAGTCTCCACACAGCATCACAGGCCTTCACTCTCATTTTCTGATTGGCTTCTTGCTTCTAAGCTTCCCTTTACAAATGGATTCTCCTTTGGACTTTCTTCTTTCCAAAATTTTGAGCCCTTAAGCCTTAACTTCCTTGGCAGCTCTCCAATGCCTTTAAAACCTATTTAAAAGATGTTTATCACCCTCGCTGGTTTGGCTCAGTGGATAGAGCATCAACCTGTGGACTGAAGGGCCCCAGGTTTGATTCTGGTCAAGGATACCCTGGCTTTGGTTGGGGGTTGTGTGGGAGGCAACCAATTGATCTGTCTCTCTCTCTCTCTTCCTTCTTACCACTCTCTCTAAAAATAAATGGAAAAATATTCTCAGGTGAGGATTAACAGCAACAAAAATAAATAAATAAGATGTTCATCAAACATTTCTAATTCTCAGGAGGATGGCCATTTTGATACAAGTTAGACTGCCCTAGCTGGAAGTAGAACCTTGATTGTTTGTTTTTACTTTTGTTTTGTTTATTTTTAATAGGAGAACCTAGGACTTACTATGGTTGCATTGTCCTGGTTTAGGCCCACCTCAACTCAACTCCAGAACAGTAAGATGCACACCAAGGAGTGACCTCACCTCTCTGTATTTCCTATTTGGTACCAAATGACTATCGCAGAAATTTTCTGAGTGTGTGTCTTTTTAGATAAATTACAGGAAGGGTTGGTGAGGGGAGAGAACAATTTTTAAAGATCTTTTTATTTTTAAGTTCATGTTGAAACTTGACTTTGTTATTTTTGGACTGATGAAGCCTTTGATTCCCTGAATACCCCTGGAGCCCATGAGGTTGATAAATACATTAGACTCTGTCCCGGCACCTGGCCTACTGCCAGTGCATATGTAGACTTCATAAGCCACCACTGAAATGTCAGAAATCTCATATTATTTTTCTCATTTTTATTTTCTCTTTGTATTTATTAGATACCCTGGAGAAAAATCCGACTGTCCGTTAATCTAGTTGACACAACTTTCTCTATGGTACTTGGGCTCACTCTTTTTTTTATGTGTACCCCTATTCAAGCATACTCTCCACTACTTCATGTTTATCTCATTCATACAGACGCCCAGCCATGCCCACAACTACTGTTTCAAAATAATTGTTAACAATTATGATTTCCATTAATCACTATACTTTCACAGTTATTATAAGAAGTTGTACTTAAAACACACACACACACACACAAACACACACACACACACACACACACCACATACACACAAAACAAAAAACACCTCTTTTTTCTCTTAATTAGATGAAAGTGGCAATTCCCCTCCCCCCGAAGTTGGCCTATTTTAATCACAACTGGTCATTCATGCTGCTCCTTCATGGAGATTACTATTCTGTGGGGATTTTTAATAATCTTGATAGAGAAGAAATACAAAGATCCTAGAGAATTGCAAATCTAAATATAATTCTAACGAAAGAGTGAGGTACCAGCAAATCTTAATCCACCATGTTTTGAAAATATATTTTATTGATTTTTCACAGAGAGGAAGGGAGAGAGATAGAGAGCTAGAAACATTGATGAGAGAGAAACATCGATCAGCTGCCTCCTGCACACCCCCTACTGGGGATGTGCCCACAACCAAGGTACATGCCCTTGACCGGAATCGAACCTGGGACCCTTGAGTCCGAAGGCCGACGCTCTATCCATAAGCCAAACCGATTTCAGCTTAATACAACCATTTTTGACCTTAGAATTAAGGTAATTTCTGAGACACTGGTAAAAGTCACTAAATTTAGAAAAGAGACTATTCTTGCTGGCACTACTAATATGAATAATATCTTGGACACAATGAGTACTCGTTATTTCAAGTTCTAGAATTCTTTATAAGTCACACTGTGCAGTTGAACAGTTGCATTTATAGAAATCTACATTAACATTTAAAAAAAAAAAACTCAGACATAAAAATCCAACAAGAAAACAAGGCACGTGAGAAACATTGCCTGTTTTCATCATGCCTGACCTTTAAAAAGACAAATGTGGTATATTGGGAAATGGTGTAAGCAGAGAAGATAAATCAGCTTCTTGTGCAGTCTTACATATTCTAAAATACCCCAGAGTGAAAGCCAGCTGAGCTGAAGCAAAAACTTAGAACACTTCTCATGAATTTAGGACAATGAAGGAAATCTTTTAAACTGCCTATAAAGGAGATCTGGTATCACAGCCCGTGCAGCTACCTGAGCTGAACTGGCTGAACTTACCCTGGAATGCTTCATGAAAATAAGTATGTGGACAAGCACGATTGGAAGACCATGATTTTGTTTACTAGAATTTTTTTTTCTTTATTTCAGATGATAGGTGAACTTGTTTACAACTGGAAAAAAAAAAAAAAAAAAGAGTACATTTAAAATATTAAAACAGCCCGGCTGGGTGGCTCTGTGGTTGAGAGTTGACCTATGAAGCAGGAGGTCATGGTTCAATTCCCGGTCAGGGTACATGCCCCGGTTGCAGGCTGGATCCCCAGTAAGGGGTGTGCAGGAGGCAGACAATCAATGATTCTCTCTCATCATTGATGTTTCTATCTCTCTTTCTCTCTCTCCTTTCCCTCTTTGAAGTCAATAAAAATATTTTTTAAAATATTATAACATAAAGTTAAACAAACTAATCATTCATGGTTTAAAAAGTATACACCAAAAATTATTTAGAACAGAGACCATATATTTGTAGCACTAAATGCACCACTCAGCCCTCCCTCAAGCATTGTACCTGCCCTGTGATCAATCCATGCCCCTTCTCTGCTATCTGCACACACCTCAAATACTTCTCAACACTGTGTTCCCAGGAACAAGTTTAATACACACAAATGGGCCAGAAAATTTCCCTCCTAGATTTAGGCAGCTACTGACAGAGAAATGTCTGGGAAGTCATCTTCACAATTTAGGATGATTTTGGGTAAATTATGAAAGAATGTTAAGTATGTTTTTCATGTCAACAGAATTATCAATGAGAATTATCAATTCTCAAAAAGCAATAGCCATGTTGACAGGATTGTCTATTGTCAAAGCCACTGTCTACCCTCACACTGAGCATATCCTGCAGAATTGCACTTATCCAGGTATTGTGTGTCTTGGTCTGTGTCCTAAACCTCATGTGCCGTTAAGTGCAGTGCTCACATCTTTTTCCATTTTGAACCCCTACTTCCCAGCACATGTTAAATGTTTACTGAATAATCCTGAGTAAGTGAATGCCTTTCACTCCCTCCATCTAGGAAAAGTGTTGTGTGCTGCTCACAGAACTGCTCAAGCATGAATCACTTAAAACGTTCTGTGGCTGCTCACCAGACTGAGTCTCAAATCAACCCCTTCCTAGGATTGTTTTGCTACTAACTTTGCTCTCATTGCCCAGATTATTTCAGGGTCCAGATGGCTTCTGGCCCTTTGGATTTTTCTTCTGGTCTTAGATTGATATGTGCTATCAGGAATTGACAATAGAATTTGGCTTCCTAGACTGAGCCTCTCTGAAGACATAAAAAGTATCATCCTTCCAGCTGTATCCTTAAAGTCACAGGCTTTCATTCTCCTCCCAGTGTACATGGTTGAAATTTTCATTAGGAAGTGACATATGGAACTTACCTTAGAGAGATGTGCCCCTGTGCAAACATGTGTAGATGGACACACACACACACACACACACTCCCTGCCCTAAGTGGAAGCAAACATATTAATGCTCAGTGAAACTCATGGGACCTGACATTTAAAATAGGGCCCAAAATGGAAAATTCTCCACCCACGGCCTCCCAAATATTTAGCTCCCCAATTCAGAGATGATGGTACCGTAGAGTCTCCCAACTCCTTCCAGCTGGCAAATGACCATGAGGCCACGGGGCCCTGATTTCTCAGTCCCCTTCCCTCCATTCATGGAGACAGACTCTCAAAACATTTCAGGTCCTACCAACCTGGGGTGACATAAACAAATAATCACTGCGTCTAAGGTCATGAACTTTGCACTTGTGCCCCCAAAGTGCACACAATAGCTTTAGTGAATGTAAGGGTTTTTTATTTTTATTTTTTTCTAATTAGAAAAAAGAAATGCAACTGTTTATGTTTGGAGGACTTCCCTCGGGCC